CAATAATTAGGATTTTCCATAAAATTTTATATTTAGTTCTGGAATGTGATCAAAAATTATTTTTTACTTTAATAATTCTATATATTTTCCTTTTTTAAAAATATAAATTGATAATTTTCAGTTACGATAATTCAGGCAATTAGCAATGTTTGAGAAATAAATACTTACTTTCGTTATTCAACCTAATCTCGAAAATTATTTAGAGATTAGAACAGCATAGAGATCCTGCGTTAGGTTAAAAACCATATAATTGTGCATAATAAAAATATTATATTTTTTCAAACTTTATTAGGTTATTACATTTGATGTAATGTAATAAAATTAAAACCTGATTTACTCAGTTCTCGAAATGTCTATAGGTTTTTTTTTTTCAAAACAACTGAAAAACAATAAAAAATAGGATTGAGTTCAAAACGGATCATTTTAAAACAGAGCATTCTTTCATGCATAAAATTTTCTATAACCAAATATTAAAATCTTATTACATTGCATTTTCTTAAATTACCACAATTCGACCATACATCTTAATTAATGTTAAATAGGTATGGAAATCGGAGAAAAAAAACAACCTTAAAAAATTGCTTTATTATTGATTGTTTACAATTTATAGTTGATTGATGTTAATGATCCAAGACCCCTTTAGATAATAATATGAATACATAGCACCATAAATGATTTTTCTTATAAATAATGTTTGATAAGCCGTTATCACCTCGAGAAGATCGCAGTGCACTCTAGCGGTTTCCGATCAAACCCATGGCTTTGGTTTGATTACTCAGAACGATAAATTAATACATTTAGTTCCACACGTTAAAAATGAGATAAATTAATTTTTTTTTTAATTTTGAATTTTATGTCTGTATAATATTTATACAACCCAGTAATTAATTTAATTTTTTTTTTAAATTTGTTATTTTATGAAAAATTTGGTGTTAGGTCATAAGTTCGAATCTTTATCCAATAAAGCATTAAATACCGATGAATCTTCATTCATTGAATATATCTCGAAAGAGAGAATCACTTTATTATCATAAAAGGGTGCTGCCCAATTACATTGGGTTGCTTTAAACACAGCATACTTATTAATCGCTACAGACAATTTTCCAAAACTAATATACAATTATATAGTATTAACAACATATATGAGCATAATATACATTTTTTTTTTTTTTATCTATATATATATTTTTTTTTTTTTTTTTTTTATCACAATTTTTTTCCTATATTTTTATTTATTTTTTTTTTTATTTTATTTATTTATTTATTTTATTTTTACTATTTCTTTAATTCACCTATTAGCACTATACATCCCTTTCTGTTCCTTCTCTCACTCTATACATTTTTCTCCTCTCTTTTCCTAACCTAATTCATAACATGCATACAAATACATAAAGTGCAGTGGACGTGGTCAATAAATAATGTAAAAATGCCGCAAAACACGCATGCCTCTCCCCATGAAAAACTCTCTATCCATGCACATGGTGATGGATAATTCCCAGGGAGTCAAGGATTATGTTCTCTGCCAACCTTGCCACGTCCTTTATGTCGACACCAAGGCCCTCCATGAAGCTCCTTGTTGAGTCTGGTATCGTTCCGCGAGCTCCGAACCAAAGGCCTCTCACGTGGAACTCTCTCGGCCCGAAACTCTCGCGGAACTTTTCACTAAGGAAAGGGATGCATTTCTCATATGTCTGTTTTTTCTCCCTTTCCACTTTTCCTGCCTGATCGAGGTCGTTGGTCTCATATCTCACGGTCGGATCCAAAATCATCGCCGACTTTCCCGTCTTAGGGAATGCCACAATGTCGGCATATCGGGTGGATCCATCCGTATCTATACAACAAATATAACAAAAGCAGTGATTTTAATACATCTAAATTTATATTAATATTTTTATTTCTTAAGTATTCAACTGTAAAAATTACATTGGATAAGCCAAATAAATAGTCTACAGAGACAATGAAGAATAAATACAACTTTATTCAATCGAGGTATTGTATGGCCTCGAAAGAGCGTGTTAAAATTTGGATAATATGACTTACTGAATGGAGAAAGAGGCAAAGACAGGATGACCTCATGTGTCAGAGGGATGAGCATCCAAACACTTTTAGCCTGCGGGCTAAGGGATGAACCTTAAGATTCCGCAAAAACGGAAACCACAAACGGAAGGCAACTTTGTGGGAGGAAGAAATACTAACAGAAGGATGAACCTCCAGACTTAGTATATAAGAGTATAAGCAGACGGATGAGCATCCAGACCTTGCAGAGAAAAAAGGAGATAAGGTTCAGGAGCATAGCGAAATAAATAAAAGGCATTTTGATGTAGAATCAAAAAGCGTATATAGAATACACTGTTAAAACTGCTAGGAAGGTCTAACATCTTCCAATTTAAAGAATATCCTTGGATTAATAAACTCATTTCCAGATAAATTATGATCATAATAGAAGCTATAAAAACTTTTTTATTGCTGTTCCTTCATTGTTATATTTTTAATCAGAGATCCATGCTCTGTTGAAAGCTTTTCCTAACATCCAACAGAGTTACTCCCTCGCCCCTCCCCCGCACCGGGACGCAAACTTGTAATTATTTTATCCAATTATCTTCCATCTGGTTTATAGGCAACGCGGTGCTGTGCACTCGCGTTAGGCCGCTCGGCTACCCCGCCTCTGGCTAAACAGTACTTATATACCGACAATTTCTTCAGCTATGCACTAGCTATAAATGAAAACACTTCTAATATTAAATAAGAAATTTCATACATACTTCACCCTCATGTTTACATTTCATTTACCAGGGTAGATTTGTTAGAGTCCCTTCACAGTGCATAGTAATGACGACAAGGAAACAAACTGTAACAGGCACGGTTCAGGGATTGCGGATCTGAGCGAGCACGATTCTGTGCAACAAGACAAACGAGCTACTAAATAAGTCTGACTCAGCCGGCAGTTTTATTTCACAACATTCGTTAGACCCAGGTAAGAGTCTTCTTGTGAAAGGTTTTCTCTTGGATATGATTTTGAACATATTCTCAATACAATGAGATGGACTATTAAAAAAAAAGTCATAAAAATTAATTCATTGTTCATTGATTAATTGTTAAACAATACCAAGATCACGAAGAAATAAAAGTTATGAGCATTTGATAACATACGATTACAATTTTATCATATTTTGATAACATGACAATATTTATATCTTTGATAAAAATCAAAATATAAACATTGCTTGTAAAATCAATCCAAGTGAAACTCAAGTTTAACCCTTTCCGCACCGGAAACTCAATGGTTGCGCTCAGGTTGTTTAAACTATGACCGGAGACCCAACACTGGAGATAACTACTTATCAAATAAAATCTTCCCCCTTCCCATTACCTTAATTGTTCTTTTCCATTAAAATTGGAGTATGTTAACCCTATATTCTTTGAATAAATCAAGTGACCTGTAGGAGAACAAAAATTTTAACCTGAATAATAGTAATAAAAAAAAACATTGAATAGTATGCTCTTAAAAACAAACATTTTAAAAACAAAATATCAATAAATTTTTGCTATAACCATCGTTATGAATACTTGTTGGCGATTTCATAAAACATTGCAACATACGGTTTTGGTTTTTTCTTTTCTTTCTTTAAAAAACTTACCTCTGGATTCTATTTGGAACATCTAATGTATGTTGTTTATATTTAAATTTACAAAGATCGCAGAATTCGTAATATACATATGTACCTACATACATATATCAAAAGCATCTAGACATATGTACAATAGATGCTGAGTCATAAAAAAATAGATAGTCAAAATCATTAAAAAATTCTCCAAGTTTAATATCGTTTTAAAATTTCAGTGATTTATTTTTTAATTGCTACTTCACCTTTTTTTTTTTTAGAAAACAAATCCAATTTTAAATTGTAAAAATTAGATCTATTTTATTTGAATATTCATGTAATGAAAAAATATATTTTATTAGATTTATCCAGTTTTTTACGACTTCCTACTGTTTTATTGTAACTAAAACACAGTATAAGACGATTGTAAAAGATTAAGATAAGATATTGTAAGTAATAATACTCCTTATATATTCCTTTTAACTATTAACATGGATTCATTCCATTCAAACATAAATATGTATTTCGTAAACACACATGATGTTGTATTTGAATCTATTTACTGACTTTATCATGATATATTGAGACTTTGTTTAGATGTAAGTACTGTAAACACAACTAATACATATTCAATGATAATTCTGATAGAGACTTAGTTCTTTAATTATTCAACAGTTTCGAGTTTGACTGTGATTGTTTATATAATGTGTGTGTGTAAGTATGTCTGATACAAAATTAATAAAAACTCAAATAATTAAGGTTTAAAACATAAATCAGATTACTTGAAGATCTAATTATTATATTTTGTCAAAATAATGACATGTTATTAGGAATATGTCAACAAAAACATCTACCTTGGATTTGGGTACCAAACATACCTTAGAAGGTTTGATATGGTGAGCTTTCATATTTAGATAATCTGGAGTATTAAGAGGATCAAGGATTTATTTTAAGTCTGTTGGTGTGCTTGCTTTGTCATAATATTTTTATACTTTTTTAATTCAACGCAATTAGGGACAGTATTTATTTTGGCCGAAAATTAGTTACAATTATGAAGGAATTAACTTATTATTTTTTACTTAATAATTTCCTTTTATGTCCTCTCTCACTCAATGGACTGTTTGTCTATTAATGTGGTTAAATTTATTTGCTTCATTGTGTTTTGAATAAAATAATGTTAATAACAATGTAACTGCTACGTTATCAATACGGTTTTTAATGTGTTCTTCAGGTTTTTTAATATATGATTTGCAATTGCCAATTTATGAAAATTTCTTATGAATGCAAATTTGGATACTATATACATATTTGCATTACATGCTCATTTTCCTGTCAGTTAATAATAAATTTATCAAGGATTTTTGTCGCTTATTGGTGATAACAATCGAAATAACTCACCGGTGACTCTGGTAGCGGAGACAGGTAGTCCGGCTTGAGGTACTGCTTGCCGCTCTCCGAAGTAATCATGATGACACTTTGATGGAAACGATTTTCGTTATCTACATAACAGAGAAGTGGAGACAGATCCGAACACAAGGGAGTTCGTAGCTACACTGAGCGGCTGGCCTAACCGCCTCTAGGGGCGCTGCCGGTCATCTCCTTTGATGGATGGCCGGGGTTCGTCGTTTTTCAAAACCTGCCAGCGAGAGAGGAAATGGAGGGCTTAGGTCCCTGTCTATAACAAGAGAGGATAACATGATCCATCGTAGGAAATGGCTGAGTTAATAATATTTATGGGTGTAGGATGGACTTGGGAAGAATAGGAAAAAGGTCTAGTAAAAAAAAAAATATCTTTGTAGTCCAGCAAGTCACCCTGACTCAAAAAAGAAATATTCATTTAAAATTTCATCGAAATCAGACCACTAATAGTAAAGATATCGCGGTTTTTAAATATTTTTATATTATTTTTAATAATTAACCATTGTAAACATCCAAAAAAAAAATCAGAAACTTAACCCTCCTAAAGATTTAATGTTTCACGTTTCAAGATACGGAGAACTCGAAAATAGAATAAAAAAAGGTGCGTCCGTCCGTCGTTCGCGCATTTTCTCCTAGACTACTGGACCATATTTTTTTCTAATTTGGAACAAAGTCAAAAGTCACCCGAGGAAGATCCTCCTACCTTGAAATTACTATATTTCCTTTCAAGATGGCAGCTGAAAAACTTGTGGCTCCTGTGTGAAAAACATAAATTCTTCTCCTCCAGGCATTTTAACTAGGAGAGAAACACTTTATTTTCATAAAATATAAAATATAAAGGATTGCTGCCCAATTATATTGGGTTGCTATATACACAGCATACTCTTCTATCCTTAGGACAATATATGAACTTATATATAAATATACAGAAGTATTAATTAATATTACTAAATTTATATATATATATATATACATTTTTATTTATTTATTTTTCCATTTTTTCCTTTTCTTTTTTTCCTTCTTCCTTCCTTTCATTGTTCATGTTTTTTTTTTTTTTTTTTAACATTTAGTTTCCCTTTCTCTCACTTCTCTCTCTTTATCTCTATTGTTTTCAATTATTCATTAAATAAATAAATAAATACATAAATTAAAACTCTCGGGAGTTTTATATGACATATAGAAAATATGTCACCGAAAAGTACTTCTCTTTCATGACGGTGGACGAAACACCTGTGTCTGAACGGATGTATTAATATTAATGAAACTTGGCTAAACTATTCCCCTCGATACATTTTAAATTTATTTATATTACATATTTCAACAAAAAGAAGCTGAGTCATTTACGTGGGGTGGTAAAATTAGATTTTCGAATAACCTAAAAATTATACACTTTTTTGTGGATGTGGGATTTTTTTAAAATTTCCTATATTTCTTGAGAATAAGAATTTTTGTTATCGGACAATTCGGTGAACAGATATGGGGTTATAAATATTTTCTTATGTTCTACTGTAAAGCTACTGAAGTTGTTGTCCATTTTTCTTAGAAAATTACAAATAATAAAAAAAAAATATTTAGGCCAGCATAAGGAATGTCTTTTATTCATTTTCCTTTATGTTACTAAGAAATTAATGTTACTTTTAATGTATGATTGTTTTGAAATAATAAACCATTGTGTAATAATTTATAGTGTCCCGTTTTATAAAAATTTCGGAGGAAGTAAATGCCACAGATCCAGATCTCGAAAGCATGTTCATTTTGATTAAAATTTATATCATGTGTGACAGATAGTCAGGAATCAGTCTGTCGGGTACTTGAACACCTTCAGTGCTGGTACTACTGCTTTGGTTGAATCGTTGGCAGAAAACATGTTTTGAAAATTGCCTGCGTCCTGACAATCTATCATCCATGATATTTAAAACAGTCTACTAACTTCTTTCAAAGTAAAATTTATAATGAAGAAATGTAATTGCAACCCGAGACGTTGGATTATTTCAACAGAAAAGAGGGTCGGCGGAAGTAAAATTTTGATACAATCTGTCTTTTATGTGGGTTGGATGTTACATACACTCGGATTGATTGTCAAAAAAATTGCTATAGACTACCCTATAGCTTGGTTCGAAATCCTCATCGGTGATTACGTTATAATTCATTAAATATATTATAGAGCACCTAAATCCTTAAAAACATTAAATGGAGTAATTGCAAGAGAATGTGTACACTAAACGATATGAGTTTACTTACTTACTTAATCCATTTTTTTCTACCGCTAAGCAGTGTGAGGCTTCAGTGTACAGAGCTTCATCCACACTTCTCTTTCCTGGACCATTTGCTTTCTTCTCGACCAATCCAATCTTCTCCTGTCAAAGGCCTACATTATTTCACTTTCCCATGTCTTCTTAAGTCGCCCTTTAGGTCTTCTACTTCCCCCCAGCGTCTCATAAGTGGATCTTATTACGTCCTGTGACATTCGAGAGACTTATCCGACCCACCTTAGCTGATGTTCTTCTATTTTTTCGTTTGCATCCTGCAAATGACTGAGTTTTAAGTGTAAAATTTCATTGTTCTCCGTAGGCTGATGAACATCACTTCGTCTATAGCCTTGATATCCACAAAACTTCTTATGTCTATACATAGACAGTGTAATAAATAGAATAAAGCATATTTGGATACTACATACAAATAAAACTGACAATTTTAACTATTAAATGTTACGAGTACGTTGTTGTTAGTGTTGCCCAAAATCGGTCCAAAGACCAAAGCCAACTAACTGTTGCAAGACCAAGACTAGGACTGGTAAAAAAATCGATCTTTTAATTAAAAATCAAGGTAAAATAGTTACTAATACTCGACAATCTTAGTTACTATAGGTCAAAAATCGGTATAACCATTATAATTTTGCATTTAACTCCTCTTATTTTCCATTCGGGCTTAGTTTGCTTTCTCCTATCTAAAAAAATGCAGGAATTTGTCTATAGCAATAAACTAATAAGTAACTGCAAGACAGTTGCGAGACTCTTGCGCAAGACCAAGACCATGACCAAGACCAAGACTCGTCTCTTTGGGCAACACTAGTTGTTGTGAAGCTAAGGATTTAAGAAAAAGTCAGAATGGGCTTGTATTAAAATTTTTCGAGATCCTTGATATGGTGCTACTAATGTAATATTACCTGTTCATCATCAGGTTTGTTTATTACTTGTGTAATAGAACTATACTCCCAGCTATAAGGTGAGAATGGTTTTTCACAAAGTCTCTTTCGTGATCCACAGATTGAGTAAAAAGAGCGAACTCTATGTTAAGGTCAGGATGAGTCACAGTAAATAGCTATGTTATTTCCATAACGTAATCGCTCACTAAGTAAGTACTCATGAATTCAAAAGTTTCTCGTACTTTGTGATAATTTTAACTGATTTTTTCGCTAGATTGTGTGATAGTAAAATAATAAAAGGGAAAATGGTGATAACAAGGAAAATGAATGACTAAAAATTAAACAATGAACAAAAAAATACTTTGATCGGATTCGATTCTTTAGTAGCTGATTACGAGATATCGACTCAACCAATCTCCACACTACTTCACAACTATCTAGATACTTTGAATCCAAGACTAGTTTCTAAGAACGACCAGATCGGGCTCTTCTAGTAAATCCTGACGATCAATTAGTTGATCATGGTTCAATAAATAGAGATATTTAGACCATGAACTATAATTCTGTATGGAAATATGATGAAAGGAGAAATCATGATTCACTGGAAAATAGTTGCATAGACCACTCCAAGAATAATATTTAGCTAAATAGCTTGCCATGTCCTTAAATATAAACCATATTACGACGTAATAGTGAAAATCTTGATTATTTGAAGGAGCAACTCTTTTTTTCATAAATAAATAAGCTTGAGTGCTTTCATGAACGTAAAACCGAAGTTCAGGCTCAAGTCAGACCGAAATAGAGAGTATTTACTACAGTAAAAGATGAAATAACAATAGTAAATATTCAGAAATTAAATAACAGAAAGTTGAAAAACTTGAACTGGTCTATAATTTTTTTTTGTCCTATTCCTCCTCGTCTTTTTGGGGACACATTTTTTTTTTGCCTGGCCAGATGAGAGGATGAGGGATTAATGCTAGAGTTAAAATCTCTACTGTCGTCGGTATGCGAACTCAATATTGTCATGTAAGCTTCGGTCAAAACGGTGAGCAGGGTGTGCAATCTCGGCACCACCTCCTGCACTTGCCTACCAATTAAGATTAAGAATACAGTACGAAACTCTTGAGTTACTAAAATAAATTCAAATAAAATAATTAGGCGACCGGACCGGAAACGTTTGGTTTCTCCTAACAGCGTTGTTTTTATTCCAACCATCTGCTATAATGATATTAAAACGAAAATCTGGAGACTTTATTAGACCTTACTCCCATCTACGTCTAGGTTCACTATAAGCTGTTTAAACGTAAATTCAGTGGCTATTAGCTGTATTTTTCTTCGTTTTGTCCAATATTATTATTAACAATAGAATTTGACTTTTATTACTTGACTTTGACAATTTTACTATTTCTCTCCACTGGCTTGAGTGTCACCAAATCGATTGAGGGAGTAGTATAGGGATCTCCTGTAGTCCTGCTTTTTCTTCCAAAGTTGGTGTGTCGCTCCCCGAGTGTATTGGCTGTCGAGCAGTCCGGTAAAGTTTAGATCTCCTTCTTTACGGGTTTCCATTATGTACAAGTCATGATATACAAGTCATAGAGTAGGGTTATAGGAAATAAAATGGTATTGAGACCACAATATGTAAGATTGCTTTATAATAAGCCACAGAAAGAACCGGCATCAACATAGAGTATTCCAACTCTGTATTACTGCTCAATGGGATTTATTGCTTTCGTGGAAATAATTCAGTGTCCGTGTGGCCGTGCGGTTTTCGTGAGTGAAAAATATTGTTGTTAATTTAGTTGGAGTATCAATCATCTACGTATTTATTTCCCTCAGCTAAGTGTTGGGGCTGGAAGCGGAGGCTATAAATTATGAATGTAATTATATGTTTGGAAATGTTCCTTCACATGACCTTCCTCCACGCTGTTAATGTTTCACTCCTCCGTGAAATGCTTTGGGTAATCATTTCAGAAACGATTT